TAACTTGTATAAAAATAAAACATATTGATAGCGTGTTACATTTGAAAGAGAAAGAATTGAAACTTAATCTTTTGAAATGGTTGGAAATCAATAGATTTAAAAATTTTGAAAATTTACTGAATGACCAGAGAAAATATCATAATCATAGTATGAAGATAATAAGATAGTACAAGAGCGAGCCTTACGAGGATATCATTTGACGAGGAGGACACCATCAATAGATATTGTATAGTGACACATGTGTCGCGGTTTTTGTAAAACCCTTTATAGTGAAAATCATACAATAAACTGTATTAATTAGTTTTTAATATGGATTTTCATTAAGTATCGGCCAGTTCTATCAATTATTGACAATTTTTGTTTGTTTCCTCTATTTTTTTTCTTGATAATCTCCTTGATCTCTTTTGCGGTGGTGACTCGCAATCTTTCTTCTACTTCTTTCGCAATCTTTCTTCTAGTTCTTTCTCCAGATTCCGGTTGCAATTTCTTCGTCTTGTACATCCTCCAGTAATGTTTAAACGTACTCCTCAACCAAAAATAGATTTCCAGTTGAACTACATCCATCATCATTGTCTTCATCAGCTTCAAACGGTTGTAAGAAGATTATTATCGTTGAAATCGTCACTATCTTCAATCGTATTCTTTTCACTATTCGGATCATGTTCAAAAATAATGTATGCAAATTTTAAGTAAATGAGTTTTTAATGATCACCAAATGAATTAACAATCAACTAATGCATACCAAAGAATGAAATAAATAAAATTCACTACGTTATTCATCATCCGAACATTGTTTGAGAAAGTCAAAAAATAAAATGAAGCATTGCTAACTGAAATTAGTTTTTTTTCACTATCTTTTTAAATGGTTGTCAAAAAAGTTGATAAATAATAGGGTTAAAGCATTTGTTTGAAATGTTATTTGTTTTGGGAAAGAAAGTTTTTGGCTTTCTACTACTCCATCTGATACAAAAAAAAGGGATATGAATATGTATATATGTATAT